CATCATCGACAGAGGTTCGGTCATTTTTAAAACGTGAATGCCACACAAACGTTTGTGCACGACCCATTGCGGACTCCCCAAATGCTTGCTTTGGCATTTCATAGGTTTCCGTAGCCGTTTTGGCGAGTCTTTGGCAAAATTTGATGCACACGCGCCATTCCGAAATCGCAGGAGGGTCGGTGTAATGCACTACCAAAACGCCCGTAACTAAGAAACAAATGCTAATTCGATGATGCCGGCTGGCACACTGATTCACTATGAATGTAGGCCGCACCCCCTAGCGGCAGAAGCTCGTACTACATCCGGTTCGCCCTCTATTGACACAGTCTTGAAACTTTCAGATCGCACCTCGTATATCAAGTGAAGTGAATGGGCATTGAATCGGACCTTGTGAATACTGAATTGGTCATCTGACGAGAACCAACCCAGATTAAATTTGTCCAACAGCTAGTATTTAAACTGGGATTTCTAGATTTTGTAATCAGCCAACGCAAGTTAATGTTCTCCACTTCATTTTATTGAACAAACCAACTCCATGGAGCAGAGCCCTTCTTGAAAAGTTAATAGTACACTCACCTTTTCAAGAAATTCCCATCACTTATGGAAACAAAACGTTCATTGCCATGTCCACAAAAGTCCGCCACCGGCCCCTTTTCTGAGTCGGAAGAAATTTTGGTACACTGTAATAAGTAAACGCAAAGACTTACTTTTGCAGATAATTTTTTTTGGGGGTACCATTTTTGAACTCATAATGTGTGCCCATGAAATCCTACTTCGTTCTGGACGATATTAATATTTTTGGCTAACGTGTTGCCAGTAACACGAAACTGGGTCAGGTAAACACTGAGCACGGACGGGATCTCCTACAACTACAGTACCGTGAGGACGAGGACGAAGATGGTTCTCGAAACATTGACATTTACTTCATTAAGCCACCTTACACGACTGATAGCCCGAGAATAATTTATTCTATTAAAGCAGAGTTACTTACTTGACTTTTCTCCATAGTCATAACGTGGGCCAGCGAGACCAGAACCGGAATCAGCCCTCCACAAGGGACACGCTGCCGGACTCCGGCATAATCCACTGCAGGTACGTAGCTCGTCATCTCATCATTTGTCCTCCCATGGAGATCTTATTACTGCGGTAATGAAGGTAAATAACTCGTTTGTCCTATTATAAAGATCTCGCTGTGGGCTAGTGAATTGAACGAATTAATTATGTTAACGAGTCGCTGTCTTCCCCTTAACGCCTACTCGGGCTGTTCCCTTCAATAGGAACGCCCATGTAAAAATAGAGTATTGGGCCTTACATTTTCTCGTTTAATGTCACTTGAAAGACGGAGTATTCATAAGTCCTGGACGGATACCAAGTATTGTAATTATAAGAAATGATCGGCCTGTAACTTCCAGCTTCGAAGTATTCTTAAGCCAGCAAATAAATTTCGTCTTCGGCGCTGAGCGTGAAGAACGCCTTATAATATGGAAGGGTGTGGACTGAGAGTAATTTGGTTTTGGATAGGGTCTAGTGACCGAAGGCACGTGTCTTGTGAGTGTTCAGTACTCCTGTTTCGGGAGGTGGCACGTTAAAATCTCGACCCGAAGACAGATTATTTTGAGATTTTCCTCAGTTTTACCACGGAAACTTCTTTCCAGATAATTTCCAATTTAATAAAGTCTTCTCGGGCTATCAGCCGTGTTAGTTGGTGATCAATCGCCGACGTTTCGAGGACCACCTCTGTCCTCATTTTCAAGGCTGTTGACTGTGTGGGTCGTAGCGCGTAGTTCGCGATTGACCACCAACTAACACGGCTGATAGCCCGAGAAGACTTTATTAATGAAAGCCGCCGTGAAAGCTTCACATCAAATTTCTAATTTGTTATTCATTAGTCATCTTAGTGACCGACGCTATTAGCTGCTTGTTCAGATTCTCCTTCATAGAATTAGGTAATAGAAAATTACGCAAAGTTTCAGGATACGCCTCCAGTAAATTCTAATGTAGTCTTCAGCAAGGAGAGAAAATTTACTTATCTTTGCCAGCCAATTTCT